TAATATTAAAGAGTTCAATATTTGGATCCCTTACCTGACCAAACTATTGGGACCATTTTTTCCAGAATGCGCACTCTCCCTATATTTTGAGTGTCAAAAATCTGAATCTGTTGGAAGAAAGGTATGTTTATTTAGAGAAAGTTCCTTTTGGTGTCTGATTTCGTAACTTTAAATATCGTCTGCTCTAATTAACTAGCATATTAAGGTCACCCCCTCGCACCATTATGATTGAGTCCTAGAACATGTTCATTAGATCAAAAGTTTGTTCACTCGNTTTATATATATATATATATATATATACTATGTAGCAATTTAAATTCGAATAAACTGTTCATATTATAGCAATTAATGGAAACGAGTAATTATAACTTTTACCAGTTGTGAAAGCTAGCATTTTTTTAACTTTTCAATGTTCTCACCTAAAATAAACTATATTTATAATATTCATCTTCTTTTCCAACAACTTAAACGAGCAGATAAGTTAAATGTAATGTTTCTATTGAGTTTTGAAACATCAGGTAAATTTGGCGCCTTTTGGCGCCTTACAGCAAAAAAAAGTATATTGAGGCAGCCCTGTTTACCTTAGAATGACTCGTCCGTATAGTAGGGCACACTATTTTATTTTGATCCTTCTAGATCCGATCGCTATCAGGCTGGATGTTAGGGATTTCAGCTACCAGTGGGAGTTTTCAATTACTCAGAGGTCCCAGATTTCACCATTTATCAAGAAGGCTTTGGTTCTGAGATTATAATGTCGCACTGTTGAATCAGCGCTCCTCCCTATCTTCTACAGTTTAGTTTCCTCTTTGTCTATTTCTATGCCAAGGTATCCAACCATTTTTTCCCCCGTTCATTTTATATTCGCCTAAATATCGTGGATTTCTTTCGGGCCACCTGCCCTTAGTGAAGAATTGTTCGGAAAAGATTTTTCCAAATTATTCTCCCCTAGAATCCGCAGGTGGGATTGATATATATGGGCTCCCGGGCCTCCCAAAGCTTAGTTAAGTGATAAATTCTGGAGAAAAGGAAAACGAGGTGCACACATTAGGTAAAACAGGTGTTTACTTGGGATAAACGGCCGATTTCGTTGGGCATTTTCTTCCACCTGCTACGCGATTGCAATTTCTTTCCTGCAAAGATTCTTATTTATTTATCTTACTTTTTTGTAAATGGTTTCAACATTTAGAATAAAAACAATGGTATAAAGCGTAAAAGAAATACCCAAGAAAACGAGTGTAAATAATGTGTTGCTTTGTTGGTATTCTATATATATTTGCTACTAAAGCTGAGCATTATTTCTATTGTTGTATGACGCGGTTTCCGTGTTGAAAATAAATTCCAAATTATTTTTTTTAGTTTAACTACAAGCCAATCAAAATGAAAACATTGTTTTGATTCCATAAAGTTTTCAACCACATTGTTAAGTTTTTGTTTATTATGAAATTTCAAGGGAAACAGAACACGAAAATAATACCCCATTGCTCACTTTTAGCTATTGATAAGATATATTAAGAAAGAGAACAAGAAAAAGGAATATCTTATCCTGCATTTTTGGTTATTGATAAGATTTGTACAGCCAGTGAACGAGAAAAAAAAATGATCCCATGCTCATTTTCAGTTATTGGTAAGATATATAAAGAAAGAAAACAATAAAAAGAAAGAAATATACCATTGCTCACATTGCTAAATTATACCATTGTTCATTTTCGTTATTTATCAGATAACATTAAGACAAAAAAAGAAATCATCGCATTACTTCACTCTATAAAATATTGAGATTTTAAAGGGAATTTGACAAAAAGAAGGTTAAGGAAATTCTAATCATTAATTTTTATGACTAATAATTCACATTGAGCTCAAAATTGAAAAAATAAGCACACAGTATTGCAAATTTGAATTAATTGATTTACTTTTGTCAAAGTATCACAGATTGTCCATGTCAAATTAGCAACATGGTATCACATGGTATCATGGTGTTATAAAATATTCAGTCTTGAATATATTAACTACAACATGTATCTGTGTATTGGAATAACATTTCAATAAAATCTATCAATTTCAATTTTAAATGTTTATGAAAACGCGCATAATTTTTGTTGGCTGTGCAGGGCATGCATTAGAAAGGAAAAAAAAAAGAAAAAAAAAAAGAAAAGAGAGAGAGGGAAAGAGAGTAATAGATGAAGCATTTCTTCTATAATGTAATGAAATAAAATGCCTACTTCGTTTTTCGTTAAATTGCTTATCTTCTATTTTCTGATGAAAACTTACATTATTATTAAATTAGTTAAATTGTGTATAACGTAGTTCCTTTACAATTCATACCATATGTAACAAAACTTCATGTAAAATTTAAAAACAATTGCCTGCATCATATACTGTTTTATAATTTGTTATATTTTGAATAAGATTATGATCATTATAGGTTGATTCATAAAGGCTGCATTTCTTATGTGTTAGTAGAATCCTTATCAAAAATTAAAACGAAAGAGTATACTCATGGGAAGTCTCAAATTAATATATAAGCAAGGAAAGAACACACTATCGAAATCTGATCAATCTCAGTACAGGAGGGTGGATGTAATAAACAACATAATTGGCTTGATTGCGTCTGGAAATAGCCTCTAAAAGATGATTATTGGGAGCACCCTCAAGTTCCAGCCTCAAATTAAATCTGTTTTGATGTTTATTACATGCTCCTTCCTTTACTTTAAGATGTCAGATTTTGATAGCGTTATTGCTTCTTTTTCAGTTAAATATTAATTTGTGACCCCCTATGTGAATATTTTTTGTTTTTATTCTTGATGAGGATTCTTAAAATATTTACTAAGGGCAGTTTTTACAGAACACCCAGCATACATTATTATAATGCAGTAATATACCATTACACATTTCCTTATAAACATCGAAATTAAAAATGCACCTACGATTTTGCCCAATTAATGTAAATTTTCGTAAGTAAAACTCGAACTTTATAATGTATCAAAGAAGCTGAGAATAAAATGTGAGCTTAATGCATGATTAATAAATACTTTTAGCTATAAATTATTAACAGCCTAAATAACATGCCTTTTTTATCCTCCTTTTTTAACATTTCTTTTATCATTCACATACAAAAGCGCAGAGATTACGATACTACGAAGGAAATAAACATAGATAAATTATAATTTAATCAAAAAAAATTTTTTTTTACCTTCGAGTTAATATGCATAAAATAATATATTTTAGTATTTATTTTAAAATATTTTTTTTTATTTATTAAAAGTAACTAAAAAGTTATTTTAAACTTGAAAAAATTAAATTATCTGACTATAATAAAAATATGAGATTGAAAATAATAAATTTTAGTCGAACAGAAGTAAAGCACACTGAATAAAGTGAGCACAGAAAGGAATAACATCTGAGGATATTACTCAGGATATTCAACTTATTCAAAATCATTCATAATAACTGAATAAGAAAATAAATTATATTCTGTGAGAATAATAGAGAATGGCATAGGCTGTAAATTATTCATTTTAGAAAAGTATTCATATATTCAATCGAATTGTTCTAAAAGAGACAAAAAATTTAAATGATTTCTGTGATTTTTTTGACTTACGAAAAACTCGCCGTTGTTTTAGTTAATAATTCCTTTTAAAAATGTTTATCATTTACAAAATAACTTTTAAGGTAGTGAGATGGTAAGTAATAAAAATACCAATTTTAGAAGTTTGTGCATTTTGTATATGGAAATAAGGAACATAGTACAAGGAACTACATGGAAATAAGTATCGTCATATATGCAATAATGAAAAACCAAGCAAAAATTGTGAATGTTTTGAATTTTTGTTGGAGTAAACTTGTTGACTTAGCAAATAAAATTTAAAATGTCAAATGTTAATGTACTATCCGAAATGTTACTCTTTTATTTAATCACACATAACAGAATTATATCTTTGGATAAAAATGTCAATTTCAAAAATTATATATATAAATATATAAAAATAAATTTAAATTTTCAAATAAAAAGTTTTTATGCAATAAAATTTTTTAAAAAAGTTAAGTTTTCTTAACTTACTAAACTCTATATAATTTTATAAATATGAAATAAAATTATAATATAAAAATATTACTATTAAAATAAAATTATACGCATTTAATAAATAAATAAAATGTATAACATCCCGATTTCCACTACTTTCAAATGAAGAAAATTAATTAATAAAAGTGATAACATATATTAGTTGCAAATTTAATGTAATCCCTCAAGTTCATCGCATTTCATATTGATAAAAATATCAAATTCAATTTTCAATATGGCATGTATCCTTTCATCCTTTCAATAATATTCTGAAGATTTATAAGTAAATATGAATTTACTACTTACACCACTTTACTGTATAAATTTTTAGTTTCTGTTATAAAAAAATTAATATCGTGACTACAAATAAAATTCCATATATATATATA